ACGGTAAGAGAAATGCAAGCACGGGAATGGAAAAGACATTTTAAAAATAGTGAGTTATTCTCAAATCACTACATTCATATTACCTTATTTTCCCACACAATATGGGGAAGGAATGAAAATACCAATGAGGAAAAAGACCAAAAAATGCACTGAAAGACTGAGGATTCAGTCCTCCACTGGAATCAGGAAAAAAGGGAAATTAGACTATTCTGCCTGTAGGGCAACAATGTGTTGGAAATGGAGTTATGCTAAACATAACCTTTCCCCAACCTTTATTCACGTAGTAGCTGAAAATTCTCTTTTCACACATAATTTCATCATGCAATTACCTCAGAGGAAAAAAAAAGACAACAAATACAACCTTGACAGACAATGCAATCTTCTGAAGTAGCCTTTCCTCATTCTAAAAATCTGGGTTCACCAGATATAATTTCAGACTAAATACAATGCTAAATTCTCTGACAAGAAAATGGACAAACACTATGCAGATTAACAATATATTGATCAATATATTTTGTCCTAATTCAGTAGTGTAATAGCTATTTACAGAGCATTTGGTTGTATCACTATTATTTCAATTTTGAGCTCAGCTGGTTAATAAAACAATAAGCTTTTCCTCAATGGACCATTCCTCAATCTGTGTAATTTACTTTAAATATTAAGTTTAAAGAAAAAAGAGCTTGCCATCTTATCAGTTCTTTCAGGCTGCTATATTTTACTATAACACAGCAAACTAATAATTATCAGTCTTTAAATGCCTCTTTTTTTGCAAATTAGTTTCAGAAAAGCGATTTAAAAGTTTCTTCAGTTTTCTCAGTAGACCACAAGATAATATTCTTTTAATTGCAAGGATTGGAATGCCTGATACCTTCCATTTTTAGTACAGCACATTGACTTCTGCAGTCATTATTCTATTTTGTACTTTTCTACTGATATATACTTCACTGCTACTCTATTTCAGATAAATGAAGAAACACTTATTCTGATCCATCCAACAGTGTTGAGTGCTCTCTCTGTGCCAGGGTCAAAAGTGTCTGCTACAGATACAAAGAGGTAAAGGTATTTTTTCCAACCCCACAACAAGGCTGTCACTCTCACTGGCTCAGGCAACAGAAGAGAAAATTTGCACCACAGAGAATGAGACCCCCTTCAATCGATATATGTGTGCCCTCTGCAAATGCTTACAGCTGATGCTACTTAACATACATAACAAAAAGGACACAAGGAAAATCTGTGTTAGCTATTAATATAAGTAAACTTGGTTGGCTTGACTGTAATTCACTTATTGTTCAAAATATAAATATGAAATAACATAAAATCAATAACATACAAAGCTTAAGGGGATAAGTTAGACCTCAAAAAGTTGATTTCCTGGCAAACTAAATTTTTACGTATTAAAGGATACGAAAGAGAGACTAGTTATTCAATTAGAATCGAGGAAAATAGTCTTACAAGTCCAGGTTTGCAAGGAGAGTTTCCCAGAGGCAGTGATATAAACTAAGTGACTTTATGATCGGAAATAGTTAGCTTGGGAAGCAGCACGAGTAGAAGTGTCTTCTTCCCTCCTGTAAGTGCGCCACTCTGAAGTCAGGCTGGGTAATTCAGGAATGTGGCTGGAAGGTGCTTGATGTCAGTCATCCCAGAATGAAGCTCCTGATTAAAGGAAATCTGAGACTTGAACGAAGTGAATTGGATCAAGAAAGAGTAAGTGGAAATAACATACACCTCAAATGTGGACAAGGAGAAGGTCTTAAAGCCAAGAGTTTGAGGTTGATGTGGCAATAAGGATGGGGTTCTAATGGCACTCATATTATGGTTAAGAGTGAAGGATGTAAAAGAGGATTAACAGGCAAGGAAGAGCAGAGTCACCGTTAACAAAAGCAGGGCAAACAATAGCATCTGTTATTCAGCATATCCAGGGATGGTTACATGCCCACTCACATGCAAATAATTAAAGTCCAATTATTTAAGTTCATAAATAAAGCAATTAACAGAAGCTAAAACTTAATACTGTGTAAGACAGTGGTCTTTAACCACTGAAAAGTCTACCATACAAGTGATAAAATGTTTTTAGCACCCTCGGTCCTGCTAAGCACTCTTAAGCTGATTCAATACAGTGATTCAATACAGCAGCAGATTTACTAAGCTCTGAACTTCTGATCTCTACCTAGAAAGCTTTGGGGTGCTCACTGTAAGGCCATAATTCTTCAGTTGTCTTTTTCATTGGAAGGGACTTCTCACTTTGTGAAAAGTGAATGGAATATGTTTATGTACCAACCAAACTCAAAGGATTGGGGTGGGGAGGAAAGCACACAGGAGATAATGAGGGACATGATCACAGATCTGCTTATTCAGGAAAACCTCAGCTATTCAGGACTCTCCAGGAAATCATGCTTTTTGATCAGGCAGCCCTAGGTTCAAAGCCCAGATTCACTACTTACTGTGGTATGACCACAAGAGACTGAATTACTTCTATGAGTCTCTTTTTCTTTATATGAAAACAAGATTAATATTACTTCACTGATCATTTCATTATGAGGATAAAACACAACAATGTACAATAAAGTATTCTGCACTAATGCTAGGAAAGTCTATCATTTAATAAATGAGTCTGCTCCTCTCTGTATATTCGTATTTGCCACATATTTGAGTTCTCTCTCTATATTTACCAAAGCATTTTTTGCATATATTGGCCAAAATATGTTTTAACTGATTTATATTTTCCCTTCTTTCATACAACTTCTTATGATTATTTTTTCCAATGTCAGCATCTTAAAAATCAATGTAGTTTTATATAATACATTTGTGTGAATCCCTTTACTAAATGATCCCAAGCTTATATGATTTGCTTTATTTGAATTAGCTTTAAAAATGTTTTTGTTAATTAATTTTGAACTGTAAATTAGAAGCCTGTTCCAAAAGATATACACTTACAATAGTATTTATACTTTTAATTGTACTTCTTTATTCCAAACAAATTATATTTCTCAAAAGCACAGCCCTCAAGTGAAGAACGCTTAGAGCACTTTGAATATGACTATTATCCTCCAGAGTGTGGATCCCCCCAAAATTATTAATTCAGAATGTCCTGAATTTGTAAAGAATCTAATTACTTCTATAATATTGTGATCTGACTTTATCTATAAAGCTTAAGTAAAAGCATTAAATTTCACTCATATACATAACCATTTATAATTAACATCATGATAAAATTAAGATTCAGATCATATCCACAGTAATTTCTAGTTAAGCCCGAAGACTCATGTTATAAAGCAGAGTGTTGGTAGCTTGGCTGACATGAATAGTTACTAAGAACCAAAAATATCCTTTACAAGTATATATATGTTAGGTGTTGAGTAAGGAACACAGTTAAAGAGTCATGATATAATTGCTTGGAATCATTGCTAGAAAGAACATATTCAATATTCTCCTTAAAAATAATGAGTGTAGTTCTTAAACTTTCTGGAAAGATTATTTAACTTTTGATAATCAGGAAGACAGCTCCTTTTAATTTGGAGTTCAAAATAAGAAGATATCATTACTGCTTAGGCAGCTGCCGAAAATGACATTTATCTGACATTTTCACCTTATGAAAGGCATCTTATGAAATAAGATTTTTCAAGCAGTGAAATTAAAATGGTAATAATATCAGCAAAATTCTTCAAGATTACTATTCTCTTTGAAAAATGCCATTCAGGGGTTATTATATACTAGATATAAACTCTATTCTGATTTCTGGTAATATATATACTCAAATGCCATACCCTGAAACTCTCATGTTATTGAAACGCAATACAGAAAATGTTTCCAGTCTCTTCGTTTTCATAAAAGAATTATGTTATATTCAGCAATAAATAGCAAATATTTAGGTATCATTTGTCCATTAGATAAGGTATTACATCTGGGCAGCCTAATTGCTGATAGAATAAATTATATGAGGGAAATGCAAAGCCTAATGAAATCTTTCCAGTTACTTTTTTTAAAAAATGAATGTGACCATATACTGAAACATAACTTAGATGTTACAGAAAAAATGCATAGCTCATTCCCACATATCAACAAAGAAGTTTTTTTTAAAAAAGCAAACTGAGTTAGGCAATGTATTTAAATAACAGAATAAACAGGAGCAAAAACATTTTGAGTAAAATATACACTTAATATTAAGGTGCAAATTAATATAATTCTGCAAGTAAAAGGGTGAAAGGAGGAAAATAATGGGATATCTTTAGAGCTGTGAAGAAGGTAAGATCACAGCCGTGGTATTGCTGGAGCCAGAATTACAAGCAGCCTGTTAACGTCTATTTCAGTGTGTTTTAAAAAATTTAATACAATTAAGAAAAGTATGGACACTTGTGAACATTCAGAGGCGCACATAAATTAACTGAATGGAATTGCTTATAATCTGAAGTTTCTAAGGCATCTAATTAAAGTCTTGGTTGGAGGCTACTTAGCTATGTGCTTTTTAGTCCAAAGAAAGCACCCAATAAAAGGCAACTCCTGCAAGATACAGAAATGAACTCTCAGGCCTGAATAACCTTTCATTATGACTGATTTTTCTTTCGCAATGTTTAAAAATGAAGGTTGCCAAACAGATGGAGCTCTAATCCATTTCTGAAACCAACATAGCATGGGGGTTAAAAAAAAAAAAAAAAAAAAAAGCAAAGTAACCCTTAACTTTTGCACAAAATATTACAGGTCAGTCACTTACAGCTGAAAACAAAAAGAGAGACAAAAGTACATTATAGACCTACCAATCATTTAGTTGTGTCTGTGTTTGTCTCTTGTTTGTTTCATTTCTCTAATTTACAAAGTAGAAGATTGAAAGTGGATAGTTGTCCAAGTCAGCTGGGATTTTTTATTCACTAATTACCTATTAGACCTAGCAGACAGGAATTTAGACAAATTTGTCTGAAGACGAGAGTTAATATTCTTGATCTGATACTTGGTGTATCTCTAGAAATTAACATTTAGACACATGTAACTGGTTGTATGTCACTCACCCTTGAGATCTGAGAAGAGAGATCTCTCTTTTCGAATCATTTGGGGGTTGCTGAGAATGACTCTTACAACTCGTGATTGTTGATGGGCGTTAGCAGATAATGCTGTGAAAATAAAGTCAGTTTGAGCCACACGTATTTATATAATTTTACTAAATTGTTCTTATCCTTAGGGTGACAAAAGTAATAACAGTAAAATTCTGATACTGAATAAGATTTAAACATCTTACCACAAATACATGAGGGAGGGGAGAGTCAAATTTATGATATGAGGGCACAATAGTAGAATATTAAATTAGTTCAATGACTCAAATATTTATTTTTCAAAATATACATGTATCATTAAGGGTTTCATATAGAAAACAAGTTATTCCAATCATTTTGAGTAGTAAGAGACGTAATATAATGAACTGAGGTTAATGAGACTGTAGGAAAGCAGAAGTCTGCAGGTAATGGCATTGTAGTACATACAGTACAGAGGCCAACAGTGAGGAAGATACAAGAAATTACTGCTGGTGTGTTGGCTGTCCCAAAGCCTGGATGTGGCTAGATGGTGGTACATCTATGTTCAGCAACCACAAAAACTCCTATCATTTGGAATTTGCAGATCAGTCATCACCAAATCTGATTTACCACCCTTGTGACCAGGAAATCTGGGAAATAGATTTTGGGCTTCAGGACTATGAGATCTGGACAGAGTAAAAGTAGCTAGCAAAGGATGCTGATTGCTGCAAGGGACTCTGAGATGATGATATATATGTTACAGTACATAAAAATGATGTGATTATTCCAAACTGTCCAGTATAGGAGGACATACTTGATGGAGTCATAATGACCCTGAGCAGCAATCCTCCATGTTTGCTACACTGTACTGTCTACAATGGGACATTAGTAGGGTCATATATGAAGAGTTAGTTCTTATAATGATCAGAGCCATACGTTAGGAGCTAAAAAATATACTGATTTTTATTTTAGGGAGAGAGAGGTAGTGGAACAATAGAATCAAATACGTGGGAGGTATACACTGTGCATCTACTACGTGTAATTGGTTTAGAAAGTCTAGTCTAATAATTAAAAATAGATGGTCTTAGATTTTTTTATTGATACTGTCCATTGATTTTGTAATATATAAACAGATGAAACAAAGGGTGGGAGATGGTTAGTAAATTTCCTGAGATCACAAAGAGTAATTCGGTGGCTTTGTGTCTAATTGCGAAGCCTGGGCTTGTCCCACTATTCTAACAGACTCATGAGACAGCTCAGAAGCTGTAAACATAGTTGAATGCAGGTTTTGCACATAAATTTTAAGGAGAAAGTTTTAGTTTCATTATACATTCATTATTATTTTCATTATATATATATATCTCCTGTGCATGTTTTTTTAATACAATAATTATGATCAACAGCCCCAGAAAATGAATACATCATCTAATGATTATATACATTATATGACACACACATAATAGATTTTCAAGAAACACATATTTATATGTTTGAAAAATGATCTGTGAAAATAAAACCATTTCCATAGTTGGTAATAGAAACATCTGCTTTATTATTGGTGTATTTCTCAACTATTATTTTGCTATCAAATATTTCTTTTAATAAGCTTGTAGAATATAAAATTGCAGAAATATATTCATCTTAGATATTCAATTCATAAGAATTAACATTTATTTTAAAATTTCATGCAAATAGTAAGGTCATTTATGTTAGTATCTGCATTTAGAATTAATTAGACGATCTTAATTTTTGTCATTCATTCTGTCTACACTGTTTTACTGAGAGTAGTATTGATTAATTTTCTGTATTTAATTTCTTGAAAATATAGGTGTGATTGAAATGTAAATTTCAACATAAAATCTAGAGAAAAACAGTGAATCTAAAATAAGAATATGAGATTAAAAGAATGTTTAGCTTGATTCCTGATTTAACATAAATGTGTCTGACTTCAAAGTCCCTTAACCGTGTAAGTGTCTGGCATAAAACACTGCCTTTTGTGAAATGAAAAATTTAGTAGATAATTAATCATGCCAATTGTTTTAAGGTGGATATTCATTTTTAATGCATAATTCGAATGAAAACTACCGAATTACAGAAATAACACATGAAATCTTCGGCTTATGGGCATTTGGGGAAAGCTAAAGGACAGCAATGAATATAAAACTTCCAAAAGAGAGCAATTCAAAGGCTTTTCCTCTCATATTAGATAGAAAGAGAAAGGCATTCAAGATGTAAGCTTAAAGAAATTGAATAATTGTATAAAACAACCACTGCTGACAAACCAAAATCGTAGCTAGGTAGATAGACTGATCAGATAACTGACAGACAGATCATACATACATACATACATGTAACATATATACAAATGGGCACAGACAGTAAGGGAGCACATCAGACTGAAAGCATACTGTCTTAGGAAAAACATTCTCACACTCAAACAGCTATCATTCTGCTAGACACATACAGCACCTGCTTATACTTCTAGCCAGACTGAATCTCTTAAGTAGCCTGCCTTAATTTCTCTGCGCCTGCCCATTTTACGCCCTCTATCTGGACCACATCACAGATTCTTGTCCTTCCCCATCCCCAAATCCCAGAAGCCCTACACTTGTTTCCCAATTTGACAGACTCTTTTGTCATAGCACTTGTCCTTGATTTCCGTCACCTGAAAATACTGAGTGCTCTAAAACTTTCTCTTTTTCTAATGTAAACAAATAACAATGTCAGGTCACTTCCAGGAGAGAATTACTTACTAATTTGGCAGTTAAACTTGAGCTGGTTAAGGGCATAGGGATTACCTTTCTCAGACCGTATCTGCATGTCAGCAGATCCCTTCCAACCTTAGCCCCACACCCAGGAAGAAGGGCAGAGTTGGCAGCAGAGGAGGCTAACCCTGCCTTGGGCTCATTTCTCCTGGTCGAATTCTTTATTGTTTACAGTATTGTGTTGGCTAAGTTCTTAAAATATGTAAATAAGTAAAATTAACCTTCTGATATGCATCGAGCAAAATATAATGCATTTAATATCCCACATTTGTGGATTCTTTGACATTTATTTATTTTAAAATTCCACTTCATCCCAGGAAATAGCAGCATGGCAACTTGGTAAGTATAGCTTAGAATTACACGGATGTCTCATCCCAGGAAACTCCTCCAAGTTTTAAAATGTAGTTGGCAAGCTCCACAGAAAGTCTTGGCCAGTTCAAAACATAAAATCTCTACTCTGATTTGTACCCCTCACCTTCACTCTCCTTTCAAATTCCTTTAGCTTAGAGGAACACCTGTTTTCCACCCAAGAGAACTTAATATTTAACTATACTTTTGGCAGTTTAGAGAAATAAAATTTTCCTTGATGTCTATGTAACTGAATAAATATTCTACTTAAATCTTTTATTCTTCCCATTGGGGAACATTCATGTCAGACAATTTAGGGAAACTTAATGTATTTAAAATCTTTTCTTTCTTCTACCCATGATGTGACTACATTTGTAGGGGCTTACAGAAGGTGAAGGCATTGGTTTGGTGGGTCATTGAGGGAGAAAGTTCATGGCTTAGTTCATGGTCATCATCAGTCTAAGATGTACACACTGAGATAGCCTCACTTTCATTTGCTTTATCATTATCGTTTCACACAGGTAACTACAGCACATTATATGTTCTGACAACAAATTATCACCATGTTTCATTCATTTTTAGCTACTTCCTTGCCTCTCTTGGACCACAGAGGACATACAACTACACTGGAATTCTGAGGCTACACCAAGCCCACCTGCTAACATTGCCATCTTTTCCACTCAGTGGCTGCCAGAAACTCCAGAGAGGACGAGGAAGTTCAGATATTCTGGCTCAGATATTCTGAATCTATATAGATTTTCTATTTTCCACCCCTTCCCAGCAGGATGTGAGTGAGGAAGAGACCACAGAGTTAATTCTCAGTGTCATCAACGGGCATTGCATTAGCTGTGTTCGGACTTTCTCTTCCCCCAGGCTGTAACTTGCAGCGAGCCTAGGCTGGGGGAGAGGAAGCCCCCTGTCTGATAGAGTGCATGTAGTTCTCAATCAGTTGTGTTAACTCCAGGTCTTTAGCTTAAGGTGTGCTGAAGTCAAGGATTTAATTCTGTCCTTCTGTATCTTTATTTCTCTAAGCAAAGAATAATTGTGAAGGGTAAGTATGTCCATCTGATGAATGAAAACTAATGGAAAATATCTCTTAAAATCTTACTTCCCACATAGGAATTTCTAAAGCATCCAATAGCAAACTTCCCTATTTGTCACCCTTTATGACTTCCTATATTTATGCTCATTCTCAAACATTTTAAGAGTAACTGGAGGCTGTGACTTGCAGCTTTCAACCTGAAAGTGTCAAGAAAAAAGGCCAACCCTAGGTCTTGCTCTGGGAAGGCCAAAACATCTTGAAAACCTATGTTCTGCCCCTCCACCAAACTGCCTCCGCCAATACATACAACTCCTGCCACAGGGGATGTGGTAAAGATGAAGAGAAAATACAAAACCAATACTTGTCTGGAGAGTTTCTTAAATATACTGATTCTTAGACAACAACCCAGACTTACAGTATCATAACTGGTAGAAGAGAGGTAGGCCACTATTTGTATTTCATAAACAATCTAGATGATTATTTTCTTTAGTTTGTAATATTGTACCCTAGAAGATATGACATATCATATACAAGACATAAAAACTGGCCTTTCAAACTAAGAAAATAAAATTGGGCTTATTTACAGCCAATTTGGGTGATGTGAAAAAAAAAAATCAAAGGGATAACTATAATCTCAGAAAATATTAGTGACCCCATTCCTACGTGCACACACTAGAAAAAATACCGTAACAGTACAAATCTTTTCCCTAAACAGGCACACTCTAACTTCCACAATGTTGTTTAAGGAATTCTAGGTAGCTGCTAAAATGAATTCACTCAGCAAACACTTACTGACAATTTTCTAAGTCAGGCAATATCCTAACACATCAAAATACTGTACTCCTACATCTAGTTTCACAGAAAACTGATCATACTATGTTTTAAAGTATAAAGGTCAGTGACAAATTGTAGGCATGGTATGATTAATGTCAAAAATGTGTACAGAG